GGTCAGTAGACAGGGTAGGAAAAAATTCCACGTGCCGGCGGTCAGTTGAGGTTGCCAACTTTAACTGTGCGCACGAACGGACGAACTATTTCGGAGTCCTGAACACCTCCTTACCGCGAGCTGCCATGTGTTGCTTATATGCATTCTCCGCGAAGGAGTTTTATCGCCAACTAACGCATCAGATGAGATGGTTCGGCGCTATCGTGAAAAAGATGATGCCCCCTACCGCTCCGCCTGCTTTTTGGACACTGCCCTCACATAAAGTGGCCTAAAACAAATAAGTCCTCGTGAAGAATGTAGGCCATGGAGTCTGACGAATGTTTCAATCGTCGTAAAGGGGGCCGCTTACAGCATAGAACTCAAGTCTCCCAAGGGCCACTTTAAGTCCGATTTACGTTCAAAACTTGGAAGAGAATGCCAACTTTATAGCGCATATAACATACCAGTAGCAGTTTGAACTTACTGCTTGAATGGAATCCAACAGTACAGAACAGCAAGCTGACTGCTCAGGCAGGATTTCCTAAGCAATCATCTAGAATCCACTGGAATAACCACTAGGCTCACTTACTTGTTAGGGGGGTTTGACAGATTTGCTGGGTAGTTAGCTTGATGTTCTGCAATGGTGGATTCCATGCAAGCAGTAAATTGTGCTGTAAAATCGATCGAAGTGTGAATAAGTGCATGGCGCACGGCGAGCCTCGTAGCTTGATGGTAGAGCTTTGGCTGCGTAAAAGCCTTTCCTGCTGTGTGGATTCGACTGCCACCGAGGCCGCGAACTTTTCAAAATTGGGTCAACTGACTTCCCTTGTACCATTAAGAAGGAGACATATAGGGGCCTCAAATTTGCCATTGATTTGGACGTCGTCGTATGCTCCATAAGAGCATTTCAAATTGAGCCAATCAGATGCTGTCTGAACAGACATTCCGTGGTCGTCGTGAAGAATACGCGAAAAGAGAATTTTTGCTGATGAAACTCACGAAAATTTTAATCACCTCATATACACCTGCAGCACCGTTTAGTGACACAAAATACCGCAGCTTCTCAAAACCCACATATTTTGAGCATGCCTGCCTTACTAAGGAGGCAGATGGCAACAGTCTAGAATGGGGCTCACTACGGAACCCAAACTCCCACAATTCTGAATTACGTGACCAACGGTACTGGTAATTTATTTGATATTTAATTCATTATTTTTTGTATTTATTTAAATTTATTTAATTGAGTACATTGTATTTTTATTTATTTTTAAATCATCGCACATTTGGTAGAGTAACTTTTTCTAATAATATCATCTACTATTTCCTGTGTTTGTTTGATATACTTCTTGTTAGGGGCGGCGTGGCGTCGTAGCTCAAGTCGATGGAGCGTTGGCTACGTAAAGACCTTCCTCTGCTGCGCTGTTTCGACTCCCGCCGACGCCGCGAGTTTTTTTTCAAAACTGGGTCAAATAAATGATATATTTCTTTACGGGGGGCCTACTGATGAGCCAGACCCCTAGCAGCAATGTCAAGTAGCGGCAGAATACCGGCGAAACACGTATGGGCCTTTTAGCAAGTACCTAGCCTGTTATTATGGTAAGTTACAACGTCAA